TTCATCAGAACTTTGGCATTAGTGAGCTGAAATAGACTGGTATTGGCCATTTTGAATCAGGCAATCATATCATCTACTGTATATGATCTACTATGCCGGGAACGATGAATTGAAGAGAAATCGTGTCGCATTCATCATCAAAAAGAACATTTCGAGATCAATCCTGAAGAAGAGCACTGTCCGTGATAGGATAATATACATATGTTTACAAGGGAGACCACTTAATATGACTTTTATTAGTATGACTGTTATTCAAATTTTTGCATCAACTGCTAATAGCAAAGATGAGGAAATTGAAGATTTTTACCAACTTCTGCAGTCTGAAATTGATCAAACATGCAATCAGGATGCAATGATAATCACTAGTGATTGGAATGGTAAAGTTGGAAAAAAAGAAGGATCTGTAGTTGGAAAATATGGCCCTTCATGATAGAAATGATGCCGGAGATTGCATGATAGAATTTTGCAAGACCAACAATGTATTCACTGCAAATATCTTTTTTCAACAACATAAATGTTGACTATACACCTGAACCTCACCAGATGCAAAACACAGAAATTAAATGGACTACATCTGTGGAAAGAGACAATGGAAAAGCTCATTATCATCTGTCAGAAAAAGGTCGGGGGCCAACTGAAGAACAGATCATAAATTGCTCGTATGCAAGTTCAAGTTTAAGCTGAAGAGTATTAAAATATGTCCACAAGAAGAAAAATACGACCTTGACTATATCACACCTGAATTTAGAGACCATCTCAAGAATAGATTCAACGCATTGAACACTACTGACTGCAGACCACATGAGTTGAAGAACATTGCAACGTAAAGTTATTCAGAGTTTATAAAGGGATATTTATTTATCCCTTCAACCTATGTTTATCCCCTCCTGCGTGCCAAGTACTGCGTTAGAAATACAATATGATTATGACAGATGAGGTCCTTGGCCTTCTGAAACTTATGCCTTAGTGACATGAAAGCTCTTGTGTTACACTTCAAAAATGTAAGCCTCTTGATAAATGAGGATTATTTTGAACCAAGTAAGTTTTAAATGATTATT